CGGCCGGGCCACAAAGGGTGCGCGGAGAGCTGGGGCAAAACATGGCATACGTCTGTTTCAAGAACAAGCTTTGAAGCTCACCACGGCCGGCATACGTAGCAAGAAAAACCTGTGAAGCCTTCTGCCGGTGTTAGTCTCGCGCGGGACCTCCCGAATCTTAAAACCTCCAAAGCTGTAAACCCTACGCTTTGTTACTTTGTTCGTTGGGGCTTCAGCCTTTACGGCGCCAGCGGGCTGCAGTGTGGCCACAGAGGTCTATAGGTTGGGATAACTCCTGTCGCAAGCCTCTAGGACCCAGGACTGAGTGAGAATTTGCAGGGTGTCAGGGATTTAGGCGTCGGGGTGGTTAGGGTCCACGCCCAAAGGCTGCGAAAGAGTTCGTTCCTAGACTTTGAATGCTATCGCTGAAACCTACACCCTATAGACATCCCTATAATGCGGCAAGCCTCCCCCCAAGGATCCAACTGGCTAACCGCTAACGTGCACCCCGTTCAGTTAGGTGTCGGCCGACACTCTGTCAAAATCCCAGTTCCATTTCAGGATATGGCGACTTTTAAGAGTGTCCTCTACAATGCGAATCTTGTTGTCCCGGGCTTTCTTGGGGTGGGATGTTCAACTTAATTTCCCTGCTGCGAAACATATAAGATAATGATGCAGGGCTTGGGATTTCAGGTTTAACGACCATCCGGATCGCGGGCTCTTTGCTGCTTCCACTCCCACTACCACAATCTACGGCCCAGCCGGCTTAATCTAATTTTTTCGCGGGCTCTATTCAGGGCACCACATTAGCTACTACAATCTGAGTCGAGTCAGCCTACTACTTCGAGTTTGGCGTTCAGGATATTTACCTCTTGGCGCTTCAAGCAAAAACGACTTTCCGCCGTAGCATTTGAAGAGCTTCGATCGGGAACAGCACACGAGCGCGACTCTTGCCAATGCTCATGAGCCAGTGAGTACTGCAGCAGAAATCACATAAGGCGCTGGAGTTCCGCAATCCCAACACACCCTGCAACGACTGCAATGTCCGAGTTGATAACACCAACCTCGGGCCCACATCACTATGTCTTAAACCGTGCAGTTCCTAAACCTTTCAACATTTAGCCGCTCTTGTCCCGACGCTGAAGAGTCCGTTAAAATGAACCCGACAGCCCGAGCGGCCAAAACCTCTGAACTGGAATGACCCCCAACTCATTGACCAACAGCCTCCCGGCAAACCGGCCCCGTTGAACGTAGCTCCCTCCGTTGATGACCTTTTTGCTTTGCAAGAGCTCTTCCATGAGATGTTTTTCCCAATTTAAACCCCGAGCCCTGAATCCAGAAGACTAAGACAGGAAGCACAACCAAAGCTGCCGGCCAGCCCAAACTTGAACCTAAGCTCACCCACCGCAGAGATCAACTCTGAAACTACAAAGACCGCTGCATCAAGAGTCTTCAGCTGTGAACAACTTGAGCCCAACAGTCAACCACGACTGTAATCTTCCCAAACATATGGGGCGTTTGGCTACGTAGGGTTGGACTTTATCAGGCTTTTAGATTTTTATGACCTCCTTAATTATGCAGGCACCGGGGGGTCCTGGTTCCAGGCGTATTCTGCGGTGCCAGCCATTCTTGCAAATGTTGGTGTCTTGTTTGTAGGGTTTTGGGAATTTACGGGTAAAGCTCATTAAGTGTAGAAGCGTAGAACATCCTTATCCATCCGAAAGCTTGGACGTAAAGCTCTTGGCCCTCCTGGCGCCCTCTGCTGCTTTGATGAGTGTTGCCTCTGTGCCATCACGGCATCATCCTCTGTGGCCTCGTCAGCTGCAGCAACTACTGAATACTGAAGACTGCAATACTGCGAAGCCATACCTCGATCCTGAATCAAATTCACTGGTGGTCGAAGGGGAGGCCGTTTAGTTCCGAACAAAGGAGGATGGCATGGTTTGGCCACGATGGTCTTGCTTGGTGAACGGAGGGGGGAGAGGACGGGAGCAAAAATGCGTGAAGCCCAGAGCACGGAGGTGCTTGGGGAATATTCTCGCAATTCCACCAACTGAGCGGACCTTTTGCATTGGAGCTTCTTATACTTATATTCTTGTCTCATATCTCTACCAGACATATGGTCTCTTTGCTGCTCATTTTTCTGCAAACAGACGAGCGGATGACTACGCTTTGCCAACAGCGCCGCGGATCTCATCGTTGGGCTCCGAAATAAAATAGCCATGCAGAGCCAACACAGGACAGTTGCAACGGGCGTCATTCTCCCGGGGTGTGCGAGTCCTCCTTCGTGTGGCTACGACGACGACGAAGACGAAGACGGAGACGACGGCGGAGGCGGCTACAGCTACGGCTACGGATGCGATGTCCACGACTACTAAGCCTACCACCAGACCTGGTTTCAGGTTCGTCGACACAGCGGGCTGCAGGTGACAAAGCATTGGATAAAGTCACAACAAGGATCCGAAACTGACAAGGCTCCCAAGCAGAAGCCCTATAGACATTCCGCCCAAACCCGACGCCAACCTCAAACCCGACTGTCGTACTCGGATTGCCGGTCTTGGAAGCCGGTAGCTTCAGCTTGTTCTGTTGGTGGTCACCAAGTCCCAAAACGTGTGCGCCGACACTCCGGTGCGCAAAACGCCAACAAGCAACGCGCATCTACTCCTTGCCACAGAAGTCGATTCATTGTCAAGTCAATAGGTTAAGTGCTTGCGGTTCATCGTTAACGGTTCTCAAAAATCGACGCAGTAGCGAAGAACAGCACTTGTTCAAGGCAATCGCTCGCAGCTGCGAACCCCTCACCGAACCGAACTCCTGCGGGTAGTGCTGGTGGTAGTAGTGGTGGTGGTAGTAGTAGTAGTCGTAGTAGTAGTAGTAGCAGCAGCAGCAGCAACAGTAGTAGTAGTCGTCGTCGTCGTAGTAGTCGATCGTAGTAGTATGCCCACGAATTAAACACAACTCAAGTCAAACCCTAAACCCTATAACCACTAAAAGCCACTCAAAGCCTCAATAAGTGTGCTGTCGGGTTCAGAAATATCTCGCCGGGCCTTAGAGGTAGCTGGAGCTAGACCTTGTCAAGCTCGACCTCGAAGCGTATGCTGACTCACCCTCCTCCTGGCAGGGTTTAGGGTTCCTTTTTTCCCTCTCGCATGGCTGAGGATCTATGCCCACTAGCGAGATTGTGTGTGGGATACTTCGAAAGACGAGTGACTTTGCTAAACAAGGTTGATCAGCCTCACGACTATCACCTAGCCCTAAATCAGGGTTCCTTTTAGGGTTTAGGAAGTTTAGGGTTTAGGGGTTTCGACTCGCACACTCGCACAAGGCTGGCATGGTGTTCGAGGTCTGAGCTTAGGGGTTTGGACTCTCACACTCGCACCAAGCAGGCAAGGCTTAGGGGTTTAGGGTTTAGTATAAACCCAAAACTGCCGTCTGTCCACCGTCTTGAAACCCAGAAACAGGGACCTTGCTACTGTTTTTCCTTTCAAGAGTATTCATGACAGCCTGAAGGATTAGAGCATAGGGTATACTAGAGTCAGGAGCCTAAATGGAACTCCATGACTTAGTCTTCAGCTCTCCACGCTACCGGCTTTTGGGGGGTGCAAGAGGCTGAGGTCTCCTTTTCCAGGGCTCCGGGGCTTCAAAGGATTCAAGGAGCCCCATCGGCTCAAGGTCCGGTGGTTTGAGAATACTACAGGGGCCTTCATCGGGAAGAACGGGGTTTTGGTGATAGGCTCTTGTAGAAGTCATCGTCGCCATATGGGGGGACTGACATGGGATACGACCACTGATTGTAGGCTTTGCAGGATGCGAAGGGCGTGGTAGGGTTCCGGGCGAGACGTCCAGGTCCACAATTTCTCATGCCTCAACCCTAAAGCTACCCGTAGCCCGAGAACCCTCGCCCTTTGTATGAACATGTTCGATTTGATATTGGGTTCCCTGCCTTCTGGAAACTTCCAGCCAGAAGCCTCCTCCCTACTGCCGCAAGTCTGTAATCCAGAACATGTAGGACCCCTTGATTACAAAAGCCGGCAAACGCGTCCACTTAGCTTGGGCTCCGGCACCTCGACATTGGAAGAGTATTTGGGGTTCCAGTTTGGCACTCTTGAATACAGATCCCTGGCAATCCGACAACGAGGCCAGCAAACATGATGATCACTTCGCTGTTTTCGAAAAGCCTGCAGCCGGCAATGATGTGTGGGGATAGTAGATGGGAGCCGAGTGTATCATACTGCATTAAACAGAAATCCCTAAAGGCCCGAAAGCCCGAAGCCTGCATCTACAGTCCCCACATCCGTCCACGGGACCCCGAATCTGGAATTCTGCAACACGCAAGCGCTTGGCGGCGTGTCTCGAACTTAGGCTTGATCAGAGTCTGAAGGTCCTCAATTGTCAAACAACAGTATCCTGACTCACTCAAAGAACTACCCCCATCCCTCGAACCCCCCCCCCTCCAATGTTGTCCTCGAAATGCAGAAAGCCTCGGAAAGCTTAGGCGTAGATCTGGGGTTGTCATGGCCAATAGCCGAGAGTCTTTCACGGTGTCCAGGCAGGCTGGGGGTTTACGGTGCCTGACGTGGTAGTTGGGGCTTTCATGTGGTGTTGAAGCTGGGATGGGCTGGGTGTTCTTCGTGCATGCCCTGTTGAATAGCTGGAGGCCTTCCTTGCACCTCAATATGGGGCGCACGCTCTTTGCGTGGATGGCTTGAAGGTAAGATATTTTGGGCGCATCTTTGGAACCCAGAGCCTAGAGGCTAGTAACTAGCGACCAGCATCGAGAGCTACGCCGCTCTTAATTACTTGGCTCCAATTCAGGGGGTTCGGTCCTTGGAAACCTGAAGCGAAAGGCAAACACACCAGAACTCGTAACTTGAAAACTCGGCATCTTTTCAGCCCAACAGCGCCCTAGACCCCAAAAGCCCTAGCTCTAAATCCCTGAACCTGAAGCAGCATCTCACGCCTTACACTTTACCCTAGAGCACAGTTCCAAGTCCCAAGACACGGCATCCCGAGGCTCAAACTGTTTCGCACCGAAATGAGGAACTGGGTCTTCTTGTCCTTAGCTGCAGTGCTCAGGTTTGGCAAAAAGGAATGTCAGTCATCAGGCTCCAGGGCAGGGTGTAGGGTTCTAGGTTGAGGGTTTCAGGTTAAGGTTGCAGATGGATAAATTCGGCTTGGTCCGCGAAGGTGTCTTCCGGTAAATAAACAGATAAGTACATAAATAAGTGTGTGCGTGTGTATGTATGTATGTATGTATGTATGTACGTATTTTGGCTCCCACTTGGCAACGTCCGCGGACACTGTATGTACGTATGTATGCATGTACACATACATTACATTACATTACATTACATTACATTACATTACATTACATTACATTACATACAAGCACACAAACGAACAAACATACATACATACGTACATGCATGTATAAAAACATTCATACATACACAGATACAAACATACATGCATACATACATACATACATGCATGCATACATACATATATACATACATATATACATGCTCAGTACGCACATACGCACATATATAGACACATATATATGTAAATGAGTCAATTATGAAGACCAAATATAATCACCCCATGACTAAACAAATACGAAAATATTTATATTTACATGTACATGCACATTTGCTGTTTACTTTGAAATAATTCTATAAGGGTTTTATCTGGGGCCTGCAGACAGCAACCCGCCTTATGGATAATTGGGCTCCTGTGGTTTTTCTTCTCGTCAACCAAGCCCACAAGACAACAAAACTTAAACTTAATATCCCGGCCCTTTACAGTCAATTTGTATTTCGCCCCAAACCCAATGCTAGATATCCCCCACAACTCTATCCTTAAAAATCTTAAAGCACCTCTCCCTAGTTGCAGCACCAGCGTCGTAGATGGGAGTGCTCTCATTCATCAATCGGTGGAGAAGCCTGGGGAGTCTTCACTTACCCTGTGGCCTGGGGTGAGGTTCAGGTTGTGTTTTCCAGGGTTTGGGGCGGGCGTCTAGGGCGTTGAATTCCGAATCTTCGGCATGCTGCAGGGATTGCTTCTGGGTTTGGCGTTTGGGATAGTGTGTCAAAGTTTTGGGAGTTGAAGACCTTATGGTACCGGCTTAACGACTTCCAGTTGCAAGCATGCCACTTGCATGCAGCTGAATGCAGTCTACGGGCAAGTCGATCGCTCTGAGTCTGGTGTGGTGAGTCACCAACATCAACACTACACTTGCTGGACCCTTAACCCTGAAGTGCCTAAGACTTAAAGCTCGCTGGTGCCCTGCAGTTTCATATTAGAAGATCATCCGGCAAGGAAGTCGCATGCATTTCAATGAAGAACCTTTTGCGCGCAGAACTCACCCTAAGCGACGATCCCTAAGCGGTCAGGAGCCTCAATTTTCGGGTCCATGTCGTCGCGCCAAGATGTAGGGTTCAGGGCCAGGGCTTACTTCGGGTTTGAGTGCAGGAGTTGGGAGCTGAGGATGTGAACAGTTAACAGTTCTAGGGCGACGAAAACCGAACTAAATACTGAAGCCCAAGCCAACAGTAAGACATCGAGTTTCCGAGACTGCAGCCTGTTCCCCATTTCGCAACCCAGAAGTAACAAACAATTCTGAGCCCCCTGAATCAGAAGCACCAACTCCGAAAACAACCTTCTGCACTCTCGAAACACCGGGCAGCCGAGACTGAGAAGCCACTCGCTGGAAAGATTCCCTATAGACTGATGAGGTCCGCGCGTGACCGGGTTCTCATCACGCCACTTTGCATCATTGGCTTCCCAAGTAAGAGACGGCAACAAAGCATCCTGGATAGAACAGGAAAAGGAAACCTCCAAACCGTCTTGGGTTGACTGTTTTAGCTCCCACAAAGCCGTATAGCTTTGAGTTTGGGGCTACGGTTGCCGTAGGCGTATGGCAGATGTGCTTTGCTATCCGTGCCAGAACGCCTGTTGTGAGGCCAGCCATGTCTGCCAGAAAGCCAATTTTCGTCGGCTGCTACAATCCCGAAAGCCCAGAGTTCATCGTTGTCATGCCGTCTGAACCCCAGCCTGACCCAACATCGCAGCCTTAAGAGATCACTGCAAAATCCTGGCCAAACACCCGCACCCGAACGTCACCATCTGCATCACCTGAACTGGCCCTAAAACCCATGCACCAAACCTTTCTGCGAATCCGTACGAAAGCTACAATCTCCTGAAGCACTTAGGCCGATCACAAATCTCCCGGGTTTAGATTATGAATCAAGACTCTAAGGAACACGTCTCATCAAACCACTGCGCGGGACAGAATCAGGACAATGACAGCTGCTCACTACTGTTAACACAACTGTCCCTGAAACCTTCCAGGGATTCTTGCACGCTCGGGCTTCCTGCTCCGGAGCTATGACGTCATGGGTTTAGAGTTTATAGGGAGCCTTTTAGGCTTAGAGAAGATCTAGACAGCTGCTACACAAAACGATTGAACATCAACAGTCCCAGCATCCCAACAACTGCAGTCAGTGTAAATGTGGAACCGCCTATAAGGGTTCAGCGATGCTTGATTGGCCATGTTAATCCCGCAATTCGGGAGTCATGTCCGATGCACCTGAAGTTATGATGATCTTGCTTGGGGCTGCTATGGCACGTGTACACACGGCAGAGAAGCACATAAGGATCCCACAGATCCGGGCACGCTCAACGGTAAGCCTCTAAACCCCTCACACCCAGAGGCTTCTGTCCTGAACGGTCTCTGCCAACATCAGGCTAGCGGTAGGCTCGGGTAACGCCTGGGTTCAAGAAGATTGCCAAGTCAGGTTTTTAGGAGGCTTATATGGCCTAGGCTTATGTCCGAGAGTGCGTAATGTAACGGTATAATAAGCTAATTGGCTACGGGCAGCAGGAATCGTAGTGACGATGGCAGTCGTCGATTATCTCAGTATTTCCGCATTTCTGCTTCTGCAATCCACAGGCTGAATAGTACAGAAAGGTACTAGCAGTGAAGAGCAGTTCGCCATCTTTTTGCAAAACTAGCGGTATCTAGCAGCAGCCCCAAAAATGACTAGCGCAATGCTCGAAACGAGCACAGCGGCCGGTAGTTGTAATCGTCGTCCTCCAGGTGGTCGCTGTACTGGTCGTCATTGGTCGTCGCCGTCATAGCAGCAGTCAGTAGTAGTAACAATAGTAGAAGAAGAAGTAGAAGTAGAAGTAGCAGTAGTAGCAGTAGTAGCAGTAGTAGCAGTGATAGTAGTAGTAGTAGTAGTAGCAGCAGTAGCAGTAGCAGTAGTAGCAGCAGCAAGAGTAGTAGTAGCAGTAGCAGTAGTAGTAGTAGTAGTAGTAGCAGCAGCAGCAGCAGCAGCAGCAGCATCGAAGGTAGTAACAGTAGCAATGGAAGTCTTCGCCACCAATGCCATCTCATACTGCCCTGATGAGTCCGCAGCTGATATCGCCAGCAGTACTGCGAGTACTTTGAAAGCGTACTTCTCTTGTCTGTGGTTGCTACTACTACGCCTGCTGCTACCTTTGCTCTGTTTAGATCTTAAGCTACTATTGCGTCTATGAAGTAGCTAGTGCATGCGATGCTCTATTCGTCGTAACAATTTTTGCTACGATTATCAACTAAAGACGAACCAGTTGTAATGCCGAAGATTGCCCCTCTTACCAGGTCTACAGCACCACCTACTGACATCTCTCCCGCTCGTTTTTGTTCTCGACTTCGACTGCCATACCTGCGTATCGAACCCGTAATCAGCTCGGCGCCCTAGGCCTTGGAAAACTTGCATTTCAAATCCCAACCAATCCAAACTTTTCTCACCTGGCCGCTTCGACACAAGCGGCGTGAACCCACAGCCCTGCCCATAATCCGACGTCCCCTGATCTTAAGCTGGTGCACCGCCGACCCCAAATTTACCACCTAACTGAGCATCGGAACGTCTAAAAGAGGGTTTGGGAAGAAACCTTTCAGCTTTGGGGTTGGGTTGAAGTTTCAATCACCGTCGTGTATGAATGCCAGCCAGTCTCGGAGAATGCAGGCTCAACTGTCACGACTGCCGACGTGATGTTGCGGGTGTTGGCTTTCTGCGGAGTTGGTGGTGGCGCTCCCTGCCATGTGTCCAGACATGGAAGCTTCTAGATGAGTTTGGAGTTCTTGATGCATCGTTTTCGCAGCCTCGAACAGACTACTGTAGGAGATGTCGAGCCCATAAGTTGACTGTTCATCCCGGGAAGGGTTGACGTCAGCAAATGTGGTAATTGACTAGCAGAGGCCGCATGGCTCGTCTATAGGCCGGGAGACAGAGAGCTCTCTGGGGAGGCAATGGTCAGATGGGCAGGGAAAGCCCTGGTCACGTGGACAGGGGGAGGACTGGAGCGCGAGATTGAAAAGAGGCCTGCTACAGTGCGAACCATTACCTCGTTGGACACATCATGGGCCATTCCATCGGAGTTTCAAGTATAGAAACTGAATGGCATCGGACGCGACAATCCGGGAAGGCGTGACCCTACTGTATGTCGATATGAAGGAAGATGTGTCCAAGGATGCAACAGACATGTCTTGCTCATAACGCGTCCTTACCTCAGATACGACACCCCACATCTCAAGCTCTACTAATCCCTAGCTGACGGTCCCTCAGGCCCAACCACCCCGTGACCTCCGGCCGACGAAGCTCGTGTTCACCTCGGTTTGTAAGGTTTGTGGGGTTTAAGGCGAACAGAGAAAAACCCGTATCTGTCAAGGGCCGGCATCCCCTATGAAGAGGAACACGATTCACGAACAGGCAAAGCAAAGCAGGCAAAAGAACGCAGTTCGGGGTTACGGAAAGCACCGAAGTCCTCTCAACTCAACAACTCCGAAGGATGAAAGGAGCAATCGACAGGCTTCATCGAATTGCCGTCGTCTGGCTTCGCTGGTTTCAGGGAACGGCTCTCGGGAGTGAGTGTCTTAACACACATATTTGAGCCACCGTTGCCACTACTGAAGGTGCCACCTAGGCTTTACGGCTTTACGATTCGCTCTATCTCACGCGGACTCGGTCCACACTGGTCCTCGCATTCCTGCAGTCTTTAAACCCTGAATCCTGAAGTGTCCAAGTCTGCATCATCCGTTAATCGGGGGCCGCGCCATGGGCGTGGTTGCACGTGGCACCGAACTTGCAAGTGCCTGGCACGGAACTGCATGACGAGCCCTAGATTCTACAAGCGCCACAAGCCCCGAATTGAATCCCGATCGCCTATTCCCTGAGCCAAGCCAGAGGGCCGAGTTTATAAGCAGTCCAGACCTGCAACCCGAAACCACCCCTAATCCACCGCGCATCCCCAGCTTCAGGGCGAAGTCTGCATAGCATTTCGAGGCCCCAAACTTTGCAACCGAAACCCTGGACACTATAAATACAGTATATATTTATTTATTTACACATAAATATACATATGTATAAATATATAAATATATATATATACATATATATATATAACTATAAATATAAATATAAATCAAAATATGAATATATAAATACATAAATATATAAATATAATTATAAATACAGTTATAAACATAATTATTTATATAAATGTAAATAAATAAACAAAACATAAGATAAATAAAAAAATAGATGCAAACTTGCCCCTGAACCTTGGATCGTGCACCCTACCAATCGTCCAGCTGTGGGTCGAGCGGCTTTTGAGCGAAACCTTGTTCCGATTGTTTAAGCCCCTGCAGCAAACATACTATAACATGCCACAAGTTTATTCAATCATGTGGATGCATGGGCCACTCTTGTGTAAACAGATATGCTCTTGCCGGCATTATTGGTCTTACATTTGTAGCACCGGGAAGCAACAAAAATCCAGGTGGTAAAGGAATGCCATTCATTCCATCTCCCTGGGTTTTCATTCAAAACCATATATGCACTTCAAAGATCACCAGAACGCATAAACTTGAGCATCCCATCTTGGGGCCCTTAGAGGAGGGATTCTTGACAACGCCAGTCATGGGATCCCAGTGTTTATGTCATTTCATGTCAGTTTACGTCAATCTGTAAAGCGAACACTGCGCCCAGGCCTGTGCTCATGAAGAGGTCACAGAGCTTTGTGCGGTGGAGAGTGGGCTTCGGTCGAAGCTCTGACCTTGCGCCGCGACGGAGGGTTCATTGCTTACCCATAGGCCCCGAAGTAGTTCCTTTTTGGGATTACCTTATAGGATTCTAAATATGAACCATAAAAAGGAACTATACTTAGGAGCCTGTGGGTAGTTTAGTCCCTCCCGCGTGGCACAAGACGGGTGGTACAGGGAAGCTTTGAAGCGGCATGCCCAAGCATCTCCGTGTGATTCGTGGCATGCATCACGACAACCACACACTGACAACTGTTGCGGGATGCTTGATTCGAGAGTTTGCTGCTCAAAACTCCAACTCTGGATGGATTTGGGGCCCTTGGGGTGATTAGAACTCTCGTTCTATGTAAGAGAAAGAAAACTGCCCGAACCCCCGGGCTGGTGCTCAAATTGCCTTCAGCCTGCTGGTTTGGATCCTGTCTGGATCTGGGTTTTGCCATGTGGTAAAGCTGGTAAACCCTGTAAGCCCTCGGCTTATTCACATCAAGGCTTTCTCACAGAAATCGTTTAATTTACTCCCTGTCCCGATCTCCGAGGTTCTGAAAGCAATCGAAAAGACTGGGGGCGGGTCCTAGCTTAGAAACCCGTGAATGCGAAACCCTTCATAGTGAAGCTTTAGTCAGTTGTAGGGTTCAGTTAAATGGCTTGAGGGGTTTTAGGACAGTCAAGCTCCACTTGGGTTCCAGGTTTAGGATTTGAGGCTTTGCCCCTAAAAACGTAAACCCTAAACCGTGGCACTGAATGGACGAGTGGCTGGTAGTGGGCGAAGTTACAGTTGCCACCGCGCTTGCAGCGCCCTGCCTCGATGCATCTTGTACGAGGCCGACTGTGGAGCTTTGACGGCTTAGGGCTTATATGGCTTACAGGGTTTGGGGTTTTGTTTCGGGGGGGGGGGGGGGCAATCA